TGTGTTCTCCATTAGACACCCTTCAGGTGTTAGCAATATTATGCCACAATTTCATTATCCATTAAAGCCAGGTAATAATAAGTACACAAAGGTATTTGGAGCCTATTGGTGTTAATGAAAGAGATCAATCTAATTCAGAATGTGTATGTGGAGAGCTCCTTGGAGATGGAATAGACCCCAAGGTTGGCCTCTAATTGCCTGCTTGATGGCGGACCCTACCAGTACTCAATTTTGCATGACCGTCTTTAAAAACATAGTTGGAATTTTGACACCCAGACTCACGCTTCGTATGGAAGCCCATTTTCCTCCTCTCCCAAGCCCCTCCCAACATTCCCAGTTTGGAAAGTTGCTACTATTTAAATAAGATCCTTGAACCTAGAGTAAGGGTTCCTTGGATCTGGACCATAGGTTGAATTGGATGAGCAGGAATGATAATTTCCTGACTACTTGAGTAACCCTGGAAGGATTTCTAGGGCTTTACTCTCCTTTCTCTCTCTGTCTCTGTCTCTCTCTCTCTCTCTCTCTCTTTCTCTCTCTGATGGTGTTTAGAAGGACCTTCTATCCCTTTTATAAACTGCACTTAATGGAAATCACAACAAAATTACCCTAATCTGGAAAGGCAAATTATGGTGGATAAAAAATGATGATAAGAAAAGCACACTTCTCTCTTCAAAACACCCCTTTTCATTTTTTTCTAGGAGTTCCCTGTGGGTACCCCAATTCCTACCTGAATGAACACTTTACTCAGTGTGAGTCTATCTGTGGTAGGGCTGATTTAGTTCCCACAGTGTCCACCGTTTTCCATCCAACATGAGTTTCTACATTTTTTCCCTACCTCCTCCCACTTTTACCCTCATTCTTCAAAAAAAAATCACCGCCATACAGAAATCGAATGCTCACCCTGCTGTTTCTGGGAACCAGCACCTCCAATAATGTATTGGAGGAAACCTTCCCTCCCATGGTTGCTGGATTGGGTCCCGGGCTGCACATAAACATCCTTATAGAGAGAAGAGGCTTCTCTGGGCCCCCTGTGGAATGTAGTCCGACTCCAAAGCATCAGTGATGCCCTCTGATAAACAATACGTGTTCCAGCGCCAGCAGCTGTGATTGCGCATTAGCTGAAACTAACAGGGCCTCCAGAGCATTTGATTTAGTGTAAGTGGCAGCAGTATATGTTAGGCATAGGATGGAGGTTTATTTAGAATAGATCGTTGTCTCTCCTGCCTGCCCCACCTGTCCCCAGCCTCCTGCGGGGCAGCCTGGACTGGGACACAGCAGGTGATTAGATTAGGAGGGAGATGGCCCTTTGCTGTCAGGACACTGGCAAGCCCAATACTGGTATGGAACTGGGCTCTGAATTTCACATCACTGGACAATTGAAGGACAGCAGGCTGCCTTAGATGCTAAATTCGGAGTGGGATGTCGGATGCAAAGTTAGAGAACAATTAATGCAGGCATGGTGCACATGGCACCTAGGACCATGAAGGCTGAGAATTGAGAGATGGAGAACTGTGATAGTTATGCACATTACTTCTTTCTAAAGCTGAGAATGACTCCTAAATCCTGCTAATATAACCTGTGATTCTAATCAGGATTCTTAACTACTCTGTTTCAGAGAATTAAGGCAAAAGCAAACTTTTCTTCTTTCCTTCCTTCTTTTCTTTCTTTCTTTCTCTCTTTCTTCCTTCCTTCTTTCCTCTTTGTCTCTGTCTCTGTCTCTTTCTCTCTATTTATGCCAGTATTGGGGCTTGAACTCAGGGGCTTGTTCTCTCCATTGGAGTTTGTGTTCAAGGTGGTGCTCTACCACTTGAGCCATACCTCTACTTCTGCTGGTTAATTGGAGGTTAGGAGTCTCACAGATTCATCCTCCCTAGGTTGGTTGCAAAATAGGATCTTCATTTGGCAGTGTCTTGAGTAGTTAGGCTTATCAGTGTAAGTTACAGGTGCCTAGCTTGGAAGTTAGCTTTATTAGGTAACCCATCTCAGCCTTCAGAGCATAGGCACCTGGGGAAAATTTCCAAGAGCCTGAGATGGAATGGATGCCCGCCTCTAGCAAACCTCCATGTAAACATCATAAGAAAGGAGGAACAGAACAATGAAGAGAGGAAAGGAATTGGTCCGTGGTTCCTAGATTCAGGGACATCTCTCCTTAGTTAAGCCATTTTCTACCATCTCTGTTGGTCATATAGAAACTTCTCAGTTGCTGCTGAGAAGATAAAATAATAAAAGGTGACATGTAAGTATAAATAATGGGTGCTACATGGAGGGAAAAGGAGCGTCTAGAGACCAAGAAGGAGAAGAAGTAAAGGGAGAGGGAGGAGAGGGAGAGGGAGCAAGAGACGGAGAGGGAAAGCATGCTTGTGAGTATGTTGCGCACTTGCACACCTGCTTACCTGCTCCTCTCCTGCCTCTGCTTGTCTCCTCCGTGCAGTGTGGGTAATGGCGTGTGCAGGGTTCTTGCAGTACTTGGTGGGGGACTAAGTTCCACCTCTCACGTGCTTCTCTCTCACATTTCCTTTAATGCTCTCCATTATTGGGGCTGCATTAATAATGTTTTCAGGCTGATATCTTTAAAATTAATGAGGTGTTTACTCTTAGCCAAGAAACCCATTGAAATTAAAAAGAAGAAGAAAAGAAAAGCATTCTTGGATTGTTGGTTTGTTTGGCTTTCCTTTGTTCTCACTTAAAAAAAAAAAGGTGGACACAACCTGGGATGTGGTAGAATCCTTGCCTAGCATGCACAAGGTCTGCTTCTATCCTTAGCACCATAGACACAAGAAAAAAAATGGACAAGTGGACCTCAATGCACACTTCACTAAAAAAAAAAAAAAAGCAGAATTCTATGCAAGCAATCTCACTTCACCTCATTGCTAGAAAGGTTAAGTTGTGGTTCACTATTAATAGTCAGTGCTGTACATTAGTTAGGATTGAACCCTAGTCAAGTTTGAGGGTCTAATTTAACAAGAGCTTTGCTGGGAAGTGGCATGCAATGTCTTCTGTCCTATGGAGGAGATCTGTGCCTCGATCATAACACAGCCACTGTAACCACAGCACCCACGTCTAGTCTAAATGTACCTTCTTATTCCAAAGGCATATGTTCAGGAGAATGCCTCTTGCGTGCAGTCCCAAACCGCCTACAAACTCAATTTTTCAATTGGATCCATTACTTGACATGAAAACCTACACACACACACACACACACACACACACACACACACACACACACACACAGAGGAATGCTCCACTAGCCAACTCTGTACACAAAAGCAGAGTGCCCTGCTATATACCAACATCGAGAGTCTACCCATTATTTAAACTTGTTTCTGACCTCATGTCTGATGGTTTACCAAGAAAAGCCGAGGAGAGGAGAGAGCTCCTTCTAGAATTCAAAGCAGAGGCTTGCACCTAATGTACCCCTAACCCACCCCTCAATGTCCAAAGTTTCCTGGGAACAATGTGGCTGAAAGAATTCCCAGGATGAATCAGAGGAAGGTGGGTTCTCAACATGTCCTTCTTAACATTTATTCCCTCTGACTTAGAAGCTACTAGTGGTATCCATGCATTCTGCAGGTGAGTATAAACTAGCCCTTCAGATAGTCATGTCAATAAGATAAACATTTTAAAAAACGGATTGTGGGGGCTGGGAAGGTGGCTCAGTGGTAGAGCATTTGCCTTGCATGCTCGAGGCCCTGGGTTTGATTCCTCAGCACCACATAAGAAAAAAAGCTGGAAGTGGCACTGTGGCTCAAGTGGTAGAGTGCTAGCCTTGAGCTGAAGAGCTGAGGGACAGCGCCCAGGCCCAGAGTTCCGGCCCCACGACCGGACCCAAAAAAACCCAAAAAAACAACGGATTGTGGGGCTTGAAGTTCAGGGCCTGGGCACTGTTTCTGCCCAAGGCTGGCGGTCTATCACTTTAAGCCACAGTTCTACTTCAGATTTTTAGTTGATTATTTAGAGGTAAGAGTCTCATCGACTTTCCTGCTCAGGCTAGCTTCGAACCAGGCCCCTCAGATCTCAGCCTCCTGAGTAGCTAAGATTACAGGCATGAGCCACCAGTATATGACTAATAGTAGGAATATTTTATGCATCTTGATCCAGAATTAATCCATAATTTTCTCTATTAAAGGTTACCTGGTTTCCTTCATATGTGGTAGCTAGAATTGGCCAATAAACCTATAAGTAAACATATTGGTGGTATGCAAATGGTTACAAATGTATGAACGGAGATAGGATAGATTCAAGGGAGAACTCAAAATAGTGCAATCCCTTAAAGAGACAAAGTCAAAACCTAACAAAATAAACACCAGGAAACAAGTACTTGAAAGAAAGGGGTAAGGTCAAGGAGAGGGTTAGATGAATAAAGAGGAGAAGCAGGAGAAGGCAGTAAATGCAATGTATAGGCTACAAAATTGAAAACAGTGAGAAGGGGTGGGTCGGGGGATGGGTGAGAATGTTGAAAGGGGTGACATTGATCAAGAGGCATTGTATTCATAAACTGCTCTGTTAAGTGGCAACTCCTCTGTACAGCCCCTTAAAGATAATTAATTAAAAAAAGAAATTAAAAACAAAAGAACGGGACAATAATGTTGATGAGACAGTCTTTCCAATTTATTGCTGTAGTGGTGGCTCTGTGTGTGTGTGTGTGTGTGTGTGTGTGTGTGTGTGTGTGTGAATGTGTGTGTGTGTCCCTTCATAGCAATTATAAGCAATCATGTTTGCAGGTACTGGAAGGTTTGAGGATTTCTCCTATAAGTGAGGGTTAAGGTCCCTGGTGTCTGAACCTCATTTTCTCCCCATGCATTTGTGGGATATCGGTGCAAAGATTCCAGGATTTTTCACTGGAGCTCTGCTCTCTGGAATGCTGGAGTTCAGACTGATGTCTAAAGCCAACAGCTTTGGGTGGTAACGAATAACTACACAAGACAGAATGGAGGTTCCTCAGTCCCATATCAAAGACTGAAGACAAGTGGGTGGCAAAGGCGAGAAAAGAAAGCACCTACATTAAACTGAATCTGTGCGAAATCCCCGGTGGCGATGTGTAGGACATTGTACATTGAGGACACTGCTAGAATTTCCCACTCACTGTCATTAAAAAATGCCATCTTGTCATGTTTAACGTCTTCTCTGTGTCTCAGCAGGCCCAGGTCTATATCTTCCACTGGAAATGAACAGAAATAATTTACTTTGCTGCTAGAAAGAGGTACCAGAATTTCTACCTCCCAATTCTCCTGACCTCACATGCAGTCTTTTCCTTTCTTTCTTTCTCTTTCTTTCTTTCTTCCTTTCCTTCTTCCTTTCTTTCATTGTTTTGTTTATTTATTTATTTATTGTTGGTCATTCATGGGGCCTGAATTCTGGGCCTGGGCGCTATCCCTCAGCTCTTCAGCTCAAGGCTAGCACTCTACCACTTGAGCCCACAGCACCACTTCTGGCTTTTTCTGCTTATGTGGTGCTGAGGAATCAAACCAGGGCCTCATGCATGCAAGGCAAGCACTTTACCACTGAGCCACCTTCCTAGCCCCTGGTTTTCTTTCAACTAGGGAATAAAGGCAAGGAACCAAATCTTTCTAGTCATTAAAACAAAGCTATGGGGTCGGGGATTTAGCCCCGTGGAAGAGTGCTTGCCTGGAAAATGCAAGGCCCTGAGTTTGGTCCTCAGCTCTGGCGGGGTGGCGGGGAGGGAGCTATGAATCTAGGGTTTGGAATTCACTATTGCACAGTATGAGGGAAATTGTACTGACTTCTAGAACATTGTCAATGGCAGTAGGATCATAATACTGTGGTTACAAATTAACAGCAGCCATGCTAGTTAACGACTTTGCACCTGGTCGAATTATAGCTAAATTATTGCCTGCAAGAAGAAATTTGGATTTTTAAATAGCCAATTAAATACAAAAATACAAGAGATGTGAAATTATAATATAATTTCATCTGTGTGTGCCAATCCAGCATAGGTTCCAACTATCTATGGGTTTAACTCCTGAGTGTGTGTGTCTCTCTCCTGGTTTACCTGTGTGCAGAATGCTGTTGAAGGTAAAGCTGCAATTCTGGACATCAAATGGAAAAGCATAGGTCTGTAAACTGCATGCAGAGACCACTTGGATTGGCTTAGAGTTCTTAATAGTCCCCGATGAGTTTATATAAACATAGGGAAGGTCAGGGGATCTTTCAATGTCCACACTATTCAGAAGAAGAAGAAGAAAACTCATTACACAGAGGGCTTCAGTCCTTTAAAAACATACACAGAGCTCAGCACTATTATGAGATGGAAGAGACCATAAGACTGAGGCTAACCTATCTCTGCAAAGATGATATACATGTCTTCAGGCGATGATGTACCCGGGCACAGATGGGCTGAACAGTGAAGGGTCAAAGATTACCTCATTTGTTATTGCTGCATGTGGACACAAACAAGTAACCTCAAGCACCAATAACCAAATCTGTATCTTAAATAATGGTGGTACAATGTACCTCCCAAGGACTGGACACCTGCCTCTCCCCACAAGAAATGATTCCCAGGAATTCCTCAATAATAGAATCAATAAAACTCTCCTTTGTGGCTCTTCTTCACTGCCTGGAGTTTGAATTCAGGACCTTATGCTGCTGAGCAGGTGCCCTACCACTGGAGCCATACCCCTGCCCCCTTTTAACTCATGGTACTTCTAAACTATTTCCAATCTTCAGTTTGAGAGAACTCAAAGTAGCCACAATTGAGAATCATCAACCACTGGTCTCAGTAGACTATTTGGTCAAAACCTCATAGAAAGCATGGAGGCACCTGGAGTCCTAGCATTAGAGAAGCTAAGGTGGGAATGTTGCCAGATTTGAGCCCAGCCTGAGCTACATAGCAAGACTTGGTCTCATAAGCTAAAACTAGAGAGGGATGGAGGCATGGCTCAACTAGTAGAGCACCTGCTTAGCCAGAACAAGGTGAGTTCAATCCCTAGTACTACCAACAACAAACAACATCTGAAATACACTGGAGCACACTTACAATTCATTAATGATGATATCGGGAGCCCAGATGGCACTGAGAGGCAGGGAGATCGCTTTAATCTCATCAAACTTGCTGGAGTTCCAGGACAAAAACTCATCATTCCAAACCTGTTAGTAGCCAAAAGGGAAACTTACCAAAATGCAACAGGTCAACCGAGATATGAATTACAAACTCAATTGATCAGTCCCTTGGTATTCTCTGTTAGGGAAAAAATATTTCCTGTACAATTCCTTACAATGGTAGTCCAAACCAGGTCCATATTGTGAATGGATTCTAATAAATTAGCCTACAGCAGATCTAAGGGACTATAAATGCAAAGAGACGATTTATTTCTTAGAATGACTGTATTTCTTAATACATCAGATCAGGACTCCAGCATGCATAGAAGGAAATAGTCATTTACCTCATGGTACCACACTATTGTCTTTAGTTTTTGATTCTGTACATCCTGCAAAGCAAAAAGAAATACACAACCATAGAATGTAATGAAAATCAAAGCAAATTCAACACTAGATACAATTCAGAGGAAGAAAATCCAACCTAATCAAATAACTAATTTTATAAACATCACCTAGACCCTTCCATACCTCCTGTTCTCATTCACTGTCACCTTGAACTTTCCTATATTATCTGTGACAAAGTGGCACTTTGACTGCACTTGAAATTCTGAATGATTCCCTAATCTTTCTCCCAGTCTAATTAGTTACACCGCCATTAATCAAACTAAAAAAAAAAATGATCATCTTAACTGCTACCAAGCTAAAAAGATAAGAGCAAACTTTCATTTGAAATTAAGATACTATGCATAATCTTCAATGAGTATTATCTCAATTGATAATGACAGCCACTTCTCTAGAGTTACCTTTTGCTTTAAAAGAGACTAAATTTAATGTAACTGAAGTATATTTTAGAAAATATAATCGATCAGATTCCTCATGTCTACAATGGGTCCAATTATTTTTCATAATAATGCCAATTATTTTTCATATCTAAACTAGTGAAGAACATTTTGAAACTCTGATGTTCCTGAGGATCTGAAGATTGGTCTCAAACTTGTGATTCTCCTGCTTTGGCCTCCTGATTGCTGGGGTTGCAGGCATGCATGACTATCCCTGGCTAGGGACATGGTTTTTGAGGATATTTCCAGGGTATTAGGGGAAAGCTGATATTAAAGTACTAAGGAGCTCTCTTTGAACTCATATTTTTCATTTCTTTCTGTGGATAGTCTGTAATTGTGAAGTATGCTCTTAAAATAAGTAGATAGAAAATCCAAGATGAAGAAATGTGAAAGAAAAGGCTAAAAATTATCTCTTCCCCTGAGTGTTTAGATAACGTTTTTTAAATTTCTGTAATATTTAGCCTATACCAAATGTTCAACAAATAACCATGATTGGAGAGTTGCTGGCAGGGAAGTAAATAATTAATTTATCTTCCCCAGTACCCTAAACACGTTAGAAATATGCATTCTTTGTGTACAAGGTCAAGACTACCACTTTAAAGAATTGTTATGGAGCCTGGAGTAGGGAGACATTTAGTTTCTGAAGATGGTACTGAATGGTGCAGTGCAGACAGACTAGATAGATAGACCCAGTGGCTCTCCACATCACTGCCAAGAGAAACCATAAACTTTTAGAGTTTCTCCTTTTGTAACTAAGAAAACAAATTGTTAGTTCCTAAGCATGACTTGCTAAGCACCAAAAGAAAGAAGAAATGATGAACAGATTTGATTCACCCAACTTCAGTGGTTTGACAAAGACTGGTGGTGGAATCTATGGGTTCTACAGATTTTTATGGGCTTTAAATAGATACTTAGGAGAGGCAGGTTTTAAAGTAGCATGCAAAGGGAAAAGATTGCATTCACAAATATTTCCCCAAGGAACAGCTTGTGGGAGGACCAGAGGGGACTTACAGCCCTGATTGGCTCAGCAGGGGTCCTGGTAGTTGAAAAAAAAAAAAAAGTCTTCTGCTGAGAGCTCAGGCTTATGGAACAAGGCTTCTTTGCCAAATTTTGCCAGCTGAAAAATCATGAAATACATCATACCTCACCCACTAAAGCACAGAAGGCTCCGTTCTAGGCTGAGTTACAGTCAGTGAAGATTCCCCACTGATATAGGAAAAAAATAAGTTTAAAATGTAGTTTATATTACTAAGAAAGATAGCAGCTTAACTATGCTTTTACAAGAAGTATTTCTTTTACAGCTATGAATTGTCCTTACTAGTTTTATCTTAAATCACTGTTATATCAATTTGTAACTGTCATCGATTCAATCACATGGCTGGGAAAAGGGTCTCTTGTTTTGTTCTGTCTTGTTTTGTTTATACTGGGGTTTGAACTCAGGGCCTTAGACTGGCTTAGCTGGCACTCTACACCTGAGTCATGCCTCCAGCCCTGTTTTTCACTGATTATTTTAGAGATGGAGTCTCCCAGATTTTTTCTGCCAGGCTGGCTTCAAATCTCAGTTCTCCAGATTTCAGCCTCTCGGGAGGAGCTAGAATTATAAGCATGGGCCACTAGTACCCAGCTACAATCCCTGTTATAATGTTTAATTATTGCTATCATTTTGTGTAGTTGATTCTTATCAATTTCCATTCTGGTACCTCAGTTCCTCTTTCTCTTCTTGCCCATTGCTTTGTCAAGTACATGTAACAATAACGTTAAGACTTGTTTTTTTCCCCCTAAAATTTTAAGACTCGTCATTCAGCCCTAAAGAACACAATGTCAAAAAGTAGTTTTAGACTAAACAAAATTCTTTTATTTTTTTTTTGTCAAAGGAAACAAGTTTCTCAATACCAGCTGGTGAACGTAATTGGTTCTCTGGTGACATTATTCACAGCTTTTTTTCTCTGTGTATTTCTCTCTCTTTTTCTGTAGATACCTTCTATCTTGCTTGTTAAAAGCAAAGGATATTTCAGAGAATTGGAATTCATTAGTCTTCCTAACAGAGGGAGTCTATTTAGATCTAAATTGGTGGTTAGCAAATATACAGATAATTCCCCCACATTCTTATTTATCTTTCCCAGTTTCGAAGACTATAGAAACAGATGCCTCAACGTCTGGCTGAGAGGCGCTAGTCAATGAACTGGAATACAAAGGTAGCTGGGAATTTGGAATTGACAAAACTCAATAGAAACAAATTGAAGCTCTTCACTGTTGAGTAGATTATCTCTATAATCAGATTTCCCTAAGGTACTCATAATACCCAGAAATGCTAAGACAAGACTGTAGTCCTTTACATAAACAAAACAGGAGGCAAAACATGATACTGGAAACAAGGTGCTACAAGGAGAGCTGAAATACAAATTCTTCCTCTCACACACCAGCTCCCCAGCAGTTCAGTGGCTGGCAGACGGATCCAACAAGTTACATGTTCACATTGGAATGTCCAGGTCTGTGCAGAATCTGAACACTTTGATCAAAACTGTCCCTGCTTCCATTTAGGCTAAGTTTAGGCTTAGCCAATCTAAATATAGTAAGAGACATTTGTATTTAGAGTAGTCAAGTTATTGATAAGGATAATCCCAAATTGGGCATGGTGGCACATTCCTATAATCTCAGCTACTTAAGAGGGAATAAAAAGCAAGACCCAACTAAAATACAGAGTGTAAAAATAATTTTAAATGAAAATGATGTCATAAGTTATTGAGGCAAAGCTCAGAAGTAGAGTCCATGCTTAGAATGCATCGGGTTCGTTCTGAAGGATCAAAAACAAAACGAAATGAAAGCCTGGTGCTAGTGGCTCACGCCTGTAATCTTAGTTACTCAGGAAGCTGAGATCTGTAGATCATAGTTCGATGCCAGCCCAGGCAAGAAAGTCCATGAGATTCTTATCTCCAATTAGCCACCAGAAAACCCCCTTGAGCAGAAAAAGCTCAGGGACAGCACCCAGCCCCTAGTTCAAACCCTATGACTGCCAAAAACAAAAAAGCAAGCAAACAAACAACAACAACAACAAAAAGTGAAATCAAGTGACCTAGATTGAAAATAAAGGATTATAAAGAACATACCATGAAAAAATATATTTTAAAAAGCTCCAGGGAGAGAATACTATCAAAGAGGAAGAGAGGGATTTCATGATAGAAGGCCTGGGTAATCAAGAAGACATAGAATCTTACATGTGTCTGTACCTAACAACAGAGTTTCAAAATGTATGAAGCAAAAGTTGGCAGAACAAGAAGACAGAAAGAAAAATTAGAACCATAATTGTGCGTTTTAACATAGCACTTAAGGGAATTAGAGAGCCTTTAGGTCAAAACAAGACACAGAAGATTTTAACACTATCAACCACATGTATTAATTTGATATTTACAGAGCAACACTCTATTTAGCATTATAGTAAGGTCTTGGCTGGAGCAACAAGACAATTTTTAAAAAATAGAAATTTAGACATCAAAGAGAGAGAACTAAAACTATCTTTACTTCACAAAAACATGATCTTCTATAGAACCAATCTAAAACAAAGTACTAAAAGAAATCTCTAAAAGAGAAATCAGGATCACAGTTTCCAAGGACAATTGATACCAGTCAGTTGGGTCTTGCTTGCTTTATTTTTCTTGTTTTTTATTTTTTGTTTTCTTTTGGTAGTAGTAGGCAAGTGCTTTACCACTTAAGCCATGGTCCCCAGTCCCTTTTTTGCTTTGTTTATTTAGGAGGTAGAGTACTGATTTCTTCATGCTGAGGCTTGCCTGGGCTTGGATCTTTCTACTTGCGCTTCCCTTTTTGCTAGGGAGGATAGTTGGATAGTTGTACACCATTGTACCTTGTTATTGTGCCTTTTTCATACCCATAATAACAGGGTGAAATGGAGTCTTGAGAACTTTTTACCTGAACTGGCCTTAAACTGTGATGCCTTAATCTCTGTCTCCCAAGTACCTAGGATTACAAGCTTGAGCCATCATGTCCAGTTTTTTTATGTTTTGGGTTTTGTTGGGGTTTTTTTGCCAGTCGTGGGGCCTGAACTCTGGGCCTGGGCACTGTCTCTCAGCTCTTCAGCTCAAGACTAGCACTCTACCACTTAAGCTACAGCGCCGCTTCTGGCTTTTTCTGCTTATGTGGTGCTGAAGAACCCAACCCAACCCAGGGCCTCATGCTTGCAAGGTAAGCGCTCTACCACTGAGCCACCTTCCCAGCCCATGACAGGCTCCAGCTTAAAAAAAAAAAAAAGCATAAAATTGGGCTGGGAAGGTGGCTCAGTGGTAGAGCGCTTGCCTTGCATGCATGAGGCCCTGGGTTCAATTCCTCAACACCATGTAAGAAAAAAGAAAAAAGCCGGAAGTGGCGCTGTGGCTCAAGTGGTAGAGCGCTAGCCTTGAGCTGAAGAGCTGAGAGACAGCGCCCAGGCCAGAGTTCAGCCCCACGACCGGACCCAAAAAAAAAAAAAAAAAAAGATAGAGCCTGTCTTTCTCTATCTCCCTGTCTCCCTGTCTCTGTCTCTGTCTGTCTGTCTCTCTCTGTCTCTCCCTGTCTCTGTCTCTCTCTGTCTCTCTCTCTGTCTCTGTCTTCTCTGTCTCTCTGTCTCTGTCTCTCTCACTCCCCATTTCCTCTTATAGTGCTAGGGATTGAACCAGAATGTTAGACAAACACTCTATCACACTCTACCACTGAGCTACATTCCCAGACCTGGATCTCTTCTTAAATCTACTATTATCACGTTAAAAGTAAAAAAAAAAAAAAAAAAAAAGTAAGCCAGGTTCTGGTGTCTCACACCTGTAATCCTAGCTACTCAGGAGCCTGAGATATGAGGATCATGGTTGGAAACTAACCCCAGGCAGGAAAGTTCCTGAGATTCTTATCCCCAATTAACTACCAGAACACTGGAAGTGGAGCTGTGGCTCAAAGTAGTAGAGAACTAGCCATTAGCAAAAGAGCTCAGGGATAGTGCCAAGGCTGTAAGTTCTAGCCCCAGGACTAACCAAAAAAAAAAAAAAAGTAAACCATAGAAAAAGATACCTGTAGCTATCTCTGGTTTCAGCAACATACATAAAATATGTACCTTAATCTATGGTTTAATCCATACAATATCTTCATCCTATGAAACTTGCATTGCTATGCTATTTGCTTTTTACAATATAAGTAGGGGGGCTGAAAATTACAATTTTCCAAATAAATATTTTACCTTGGGCTAACTGCTGAAGTGAATATCACACAACTTCCCTCTCAGTTCAGAAATAAAAGCTCTTCTCGGCTCCCACAGAAAAGCATGGATGATTTAAAAGAAGATCAGCAGAAAGAGAAAGCTCAGCATGGCCCTTACCACATCCAATACAGTGTGGACCAACAGATCCAGGTAGACGGTAGTGGCCTCCGCCCAGTTGTGAACAGGTCTCACTTCCTTGTGATACTGCTGTAGTAACTGCGTGGTGAGATTATACAGGACAGAACCCCCAGGATGGGGTATGGCTGCGGCTAGAATTCCTGAAAAAGAAAGCTCTCACTGTGAAGATGAAAACAAGAAGCATCTGTTAGAAGACTTCAGACCATTGGAGACTCCTGTGGCTCTTAGTAGAGTATGGTCTTCAGTTCACCCCAATCTGCATAAATTCACAGCTAGCTGGTAGGCTCTCATGCAGACGCCTCTTTAAAGGAAACTGATAGCCTTAAGTGCCTAATAGAGAAATTTCATTGTAAAATAAATCAACTCCATCTCCAAGAAGGCAAAATCAGGTGCAATTGCATTTTACAGACATTGGTCATCTGGGAGACAATCCATTTTTACACTCCTATATCAGTCCCTCTGGAAGATGCCCACTTCCACACTTAATTCCCTCCTTGCTGTTTTGTTTTGTTTTGTTCCGGTCTTGGGCTTGAACTCAGGACCAGGGCACTGTTCCTGAGCTTTTGAAAATGTTCAAGGGTAGTACCCTACCACTTGAGCCAGAGCTCCATTTCTGGCTTGTTCTGGTAGGTAGTTAACTGGAGATAAGAGTCTCAAGGACTTTCCTGCCAGGGCTAGTTTTGAACCCTGATCCTCAGAGCTCAGCCTCCTGAAGAGCTAAGATTGCAGGCATGGTCACCAGTGCCTGCCCTACCCTCCTTGTTTTGTTTTTAGTTCTGATTTTTCATTTTTATTTTTACTCTTTTAATTGACCTCATTTATTTCTCTTTTTATTTTTTGTGTCCGTCATGAGGCTTGAACTCTGGGCCTGGGCGCTGTCCCTCAGCAGTTCAGCTCAAGGCAAATGCTCTACCACTTGAGCCACAGTGTCACTTCCAGTTTTCTGGTGGTTAATTGGTGAGAAGAGTCTCACAGGCTTTCCTGCCTGGGCTGGCTTTGAACCTTGACTCTCAGATCTCAGCCTCTTGAGTAGCTAGGATTATAGGCGTGAGCTACTGGCGCCCGGCTCATTTCTTTTTTTAATTATTATCTCTAAGTAGTTGTACAAAAATATTTCTTTTCCAATTATCTTTAAGTAGTATAAAGAGACAAACAGGCTTCAATTCAACAGTTTATGAACACAATGCATCTTGATCCATGTGACTCTTTCCATCATTCTCTCTCAACCCTACCCATCCCCTCAATTTCTCATTTTTCATAGACAAAGCATGGACCCCCAAATAAGTTCTCTGTGTGGATTCCTATATGGTGGAATTAATAAAATTTCAATTCATGCTTTTCTGCTCAAAACTCTCTTTTCTCACATCGTCTGTCTTTGAATAAAACACACTTGTCAGAAAATGAGATCTTTGTTTTGGGAAAATTCTGTCTGGGTCCAAGAAATAACCATTTCCTCTTGACCTAGGAATCTTGATTTGTAGAGGAGCCTTTGATTGGTGCCAAAGCAGAAGAAGCCGAGCAAAAGCAAGCAAGAGAAATGAGCACCGACAATTGGAAGTGACAAATTTGTCAGGGCTCTCTCTGAATTGCAAAAAGATATTTTGTTCACAAGCTTCACCGGCCCCTGAGGGAATTCAAAGCCTCGCTAAGGCATTGGACTGAAGCAAATTGCATACCACCTGACACGGTTATGTGATGAAATCTATCTGTAGTGTCCTGCGTTTGAATTCGCCTGGGCTCTCGCTGGTTTTGATGGCTATTTTGATGAGCTGCGGAAAGTTGGTAGGCTCCAGCAGGAAATTGTAAATGAGATCGCTTCTCCCCGTGAGACAATCCTGTTGATACCCATTCCTTTATGAATGATGTCATGTCACTTGCCACCACGGGCAGCAATTTCTAGTACGTGTCCGTGTCAGCATGACCAAAATGCTCACAATGAGGCAGGAGGGTGCGATGTCTGCCTCATTGCGGGGCAGTGTAATATTCCCTTTCAATAACCACGGGAACTGGGAATCTAATAAGCATTTTAATTTCCTAATTATTCACCCAAGAAGATGCTGAAAATGGTAAGAGCTATTCAGGCATGCAGGACTGAGGTGGGGAGCTTGGGGGGGCGGAGGGGAAGGCGGCATTTTTAGGGCTTTTCTGAACTGTTATTGTCAGAAAGTATGCTGGGAATCTTTCTACCTGAGAACATTGCTCACTTGCCTTACCCCAGAGAAGGGAAGTCAAGAGCATGAAGCAAAGCTGGTCCTGGTGTTCTTCCTGGAAACTTTAGCTTGGGGCAGCTTCGTTTTTACCACTCTTGGGGGTCCCCAATTCAAGTCTCAGTTGGGAAAATGCTGAAATGTAAGTGATGCAATACAAGCAACTATCTGAGACAGAGTTAAAAACATAAGCCTGAGGAGTAAGTTGTGTGCTCACTGTCCCTTGTGCTCATAAAGATGCACATTCTTTTCTGTTCCCTTTCCTAGGAAACCATCCATAGGGTGTCCTATAGATAAACACAAACTTTCTAGAAAGTGCCCAAGTGTTTATAAGTCAGAAGAGGAAGTTCTGGAAACAAGGGCTTAGGAACAACAGAGAAACAAGTCCTAGAAAGAGAAAATTTATCAAGAAATGGAAGTGCACTTAAATAAACCAAAAGGGAAAAAGAGTCCCTTGTTTAAGATAGGCAGAAATAATAAATTACATTTCTACTATAAATGCAAATTTGCCAGAGGAGAAAGATCAATGACAGGAAAGAGATTAAGGATTTAAGTGACCATTAATTAACAGTAAGCGATGCCCTTTGAAAGCTAATGTGACATTCACACGAGCAGTAAATGACTCTGAGTTCAGTGATGTTTCAACACTGATGGGAGCTATCAACAGACCAGGAAAGAATCCTTTCTAATTCTAACCTCTCTGAAGCTAATAATCAGCTTCATATAATTCAGTTGTGTGGTTTCTGAGATGTAGATCGTATTAGGGACTGATCTATGATGCACTTGAGAGAGAGAGAATATTATAGAAATATTACTTTACCTCCCTTGTTTTGTTCACTTTTTTTTTCTCTTTTATTTGTGCTGGCCTTGGAGCCTGAATTTAGGACTTGAATACTATTGCCTAGCTTTTTTGCTGAAGGCTGGTGCTCGACCACTTGAACCACTTCTGGATATTTGCTGGTTAATTGCAGATAAGAGTCTCACTTGAACCATGATTCTTAGATCTCAGCCTCCTGAGTAGGATTACAGGAGTGAGCTACAGGTACCTGGCTTTATTTTCCTTGTTTTATGAGTCATTCTTTCATATACCATCTCTCTATCTCACAGTGCTTGGGGTACGTTTTGATGAAAAGATTCTTTAGTACACATCTTTACATATGGGTTCATATATCTGAGCAGATACAGGATATAGAGATTTAGATGATATATGTTCCATTGGTTACTTGTGGTGCCATTAAATACTTACTATATAGGCCAGGCACAGGGCTAAGTCAACCTTTTGTGTGCGATTTTGGGTGATTACTGCAGATGAGGAACCAGGAGCTCCAAGAGGTTAGTACTCTCTGAAGGCTTAGTTTGCAAACAAAGGAGGTAGAATTCAAACACAGTTGGTTTGTGACCCAAGCCCAAGCTCTTCAGCATGACTCTGAGACTATTAGGAACAGTGCCAAGTCAAGGTGTACATTCTTGAGCCCACACTCCCAGGGCTGTTTTCTGTGGTTTGCTTCCAGATTACTAGTGTCTTACTAGTGTCTTTTTTTTGTGGGGGGGTCCGGTCGTAGGGCTTGAACTCTGGACCTGGGCGCTGTCCCTCAGGCTCTTCAGCTCAAAGCTAACGCTCTACCACTTGAGCCACAGCGCCACTTCCAGCTTTTTTTTTCTTTTTGCTTATGTGGTGCTGAGGAATTGAACCCAGGGCCTCAGGCATGCAAGGCAAAGTTTTCTACTTTTAAATTAATATTTATAAACACTTTAAAATACTTTTATATAAGAAATTGTGGGGTTTAAAACAAGGAATTATGTACCTTAATTGAAGATTTT